AAATTAGTAAATTAAAAAAAGAAAATGAAGAATTAAAAAAAAATAATTCCGAAACTTTGGAAAATGAACTAAAAAAAATTGAACAACAAGTAGAAAAATGCTTAGATGCTTTACGTGCTGAATATAATAAGAACGCTGCTTTAGACCAAAAAATGAACGAACTATTTGAATTATGTAAAGAATTCGGAGAAGAACTTCCTACCTTTAGAAGCAAAAAAAATCGTAAAAAGAAAATTAACATTTCACAATAAAAATTTAATTGTAATTAAATTAGTTATTTTAAATATAAATAAAATTCAATAAAGAAAAATCGCTAATTTTTATTTAAAATAAATAAAATAAATGTCGTCAACCCCACAATCCAGAGTTTTAAACAGTTTAAAAGCTCTTAAAGATGAAAATGAAAGATTAAAAAAAACAATTAAATGAAAAAAACAATGATAATAATAAACTAAACCAGCAGTTAGAAAACTGCAATAAAGAAAAAGAACCATTGAAAAATACAAACGATAAATTAAAACAAGACCTAGAAAATTGTAATAAAGAAAAAAAAACCTTACAAGATAAAAATAAAAAACTTGTAGATGAAATTAACAAACTAAAAGAAGACTTGAAAAAATGTAAAGAAAATGAACCAAATGAAAACCTCGTAAACAAAAATAAAGAATTGAGAAAACAATTAGATAAATGTCACCAAGATAGCGAACATTTGAAAGAGGGAATTACAGCATTAGAAGAAGTAGTAAAAAAATGTGATGAATTCATCACAGATCTAGATAAAAAAATAAATATTATATTAAATAATTTTATTGTAAAATATATAAGAACCGACGGAATAGAATCTAAAATAGATAAAGTAGTCATAGTTAGTGAAGAAATAAAAAAAGTTCATTAATATAAATAAATATTGTATTTGTTAATTTATATAAAATATAAATAAAATGTCAATCTCAGATGAAATAAACCGAATCGTAAACAAATTAGAAACTCTGAAAAATAAAAATAAAACCCTTATCAATGAAAATAATAATTTACAAGATATCGATGAAAAGTGTAAAAAACTTGCTGAAGAAAATGAAAAACTCTTGAAAGAAAACAAAGAATTAACAGAAAAAAACGATAAACTTGTTCTTGATGTATATGGAAATAATTTATTTTTTTATGAACAATTAAATATAGGAATAACAGAAATATTAGAAAAATTAGATAAAAAAATCGATAATAGCTTAAGATTATTAAAAATTAATTTTTCGATTTCTGATAAAAATAAAATAGATAAAATCGTTTTAGCTAGCAAAAACCTAAAAACAATTCAAGAATGATTTCTGCCCAATTACAACGAATTCAAGATGAAATAAACCGATTAAAGAAAGAAAATGAAAAACTAGAAAATGAAAATAATCAAATATTAGAAAACAGTCAATATGATAAATTATTAAAAAAAAATCAAGAACTACAAAAAGAAAATGAAATCACCATTTATCAAAACCAAAGATTAACCAAAAGATTAGAACAATTTTTAAAAGAAATCCGTGAAAAAAGAATAGAATATGAAGAAAAAGAAAAAATATTTGATATATTGAATGAAAAAATTGATATTATATAACTAATTTTGATTTTGAAATATTATTTCCGTTAAATGATACTATAAAAAAAATAGAAAAAATCGTTGAATTATATAACAAAATTATACAAATCAATTAAAAATAGTTTTTTTTAATTATATAAATAAATAAATAAATTTTTTCTTTCGAAAAATGTTTTTTATTTCTAACGAACTAAATAGAATTCAAAAAATTATAAATAATTTAAAAAAAGAAAAAACTATTCTAGAAAGTGATATATCTACATGTAAAAATAAAACCAAAGACCAAGAAGAAAACAAAAAAAATAACCAAGACCTGAAAAATCTAGAATATGAATATAATTCATTTGAAAGATCTTTAAAAAATATCCTAGAACAAATCGAAAACGAAAAAAAAATCAATATCGAAGTGCAAAAAAGAATTGAAATATTGGATCAAAAAGCTGATATTGTGTTAAAAAACTTTAATAGAGAACCAGAATTTCCTACTTTGAAAAACAAATTAGCTTTAATCAAAAAAATTAGTGGAGAATATAAATGAATTTTTCATCAAAAGAAATTGAAAACCTTCAAAAACTTATCAATAAAATAAAAAAAAAAAATGAATTATTGTTAAAAGAAAAAAATGAATGTGAAAAAATAAATCTAAATAATCAACAAAACATCGAAGAAAACAAGAAATTACAAGAAAAAGACTTTGAAAATAAAATAGTAGAATTAAGACAAGAAATACATGGAGCGAAAAGGGAACTTTCGGGTTGGACCAAACATAATAATCTTGATAGAGAAAACACACTTATAAATGAATCGTTAAATAATTTTAAAATAGTTTACAATAACACCAATTCGTTAGAAACTAAAATGGATCTTCTCATAGAAATTAGTAAAAAAATCAATAATATTAGTTAATTTTTTTGATCATCATTACTATATTTAGATTCATTAAATGTAAGTTTTTCTTACATTTAATGAATCTAAATATAGTAATCGTATAAATAATTTAAATAAAGAATTAGATAATTTAGTCATCATGATCAAAACAGCAAGATAAGATTGTATGAGATTGCTTTTTATAGTTTAATTATTTATATAAATTAAATTTGGATTGGGCTTATATAAATTGATTAAACAAAATGGAGTCATCTTTAGTTCTGTCTAGACATCGTCTAGATCTCTTGTTTAATAGGTAATTTGTTCTTGGAACAAAATCATTAAAATAATCTAACCATTTATAATTTTATAGAATGAATAACGAACAAAATCAGAATCAAGAATCAGATCAATCAGAACAAACGGAAACTGAATCTTGCTCATTTAAGCAATTTAAAGAACGAAAAAAATACAAAAACCAAAAAAGAAATCAAGAATGAAAAGAACGTGAGAAAAAAGATGAATTAATCTTAAAAATAATCAAACAAAAAGATGAAAAATTTTTTATATTAACGATAATTATTATATTAGTTTTATTTTTATTATTGATTAAAGACAATGAAGTTTTGATTTTATTTTTAAAAGAAAAATTTTGGGGTTTCTTTGGAATTGTGACAATGTGTATTTTAGATAAATATAAAGAATCGATTATTGATTTTTTAAATATGATAAAATTTAAATTTTTAGGTTAGGTTAAACCAATTTTACTTTGATTAACATAAATAA